CTGTACTACATTGAAACATATTATATTTGTCTATTATAAATGCCACTAACTCCTTAAATTGTTTTTATGTGTGTACCAGTTGACTAATACTAACACTTTAATATTTGCTATTTCTTTCATTAAGTATGTTATCCTGTGGTGTACTTTTTATCTGAAAGACAATTATCAATGGTTAATACGGTAATGACATAACAAATTTGCAGACTATGCTTTCTTATTTACTTTAGGTTTAAGATTAAACTAAATATGATTATTGTCCTAACTTGAAGTAGTTTGGTTGTCTGGGGACTTGCTGGAGAATTCATTGGATTTTTCCAGATATTTTAGGGTTGACTACAAATTAAAACCATATTTGTTTATATATCCTAAAAGTACCTTTTAACACGAGTTCCAAGAGAAAAGTTTTAGTAAACTTGAAATAAGTGAAAGTTTGAAGTAAAATATGAAATCAGACAAAGATGATGTCTATAGACGCAAAACAACCTGGCTTTGACTATTAACTTCTAACGGTATCCTCACACCTCTTTTAGAATGTTATACCTCTATGTTTAAACATCAGTATACACAGCAACCTGGAACTGAAGTTTATCAGGTTTTAATCCATAACTCAAAATATATTACTTCATATGAAATTTCTTTTCTTCATAAAATAAGAAATAGAGCAGGGAACGGATTCCTATGGCACTCTATGGTCTGTTCATGCTGACATTTCAGAGTCCGTTAGCAAGATTCTTAAGGTAACGCATACTGAAGTGCAATCCTCTGGTAAGATGATGGCATCACTGTTTGCTAAAGAAACATGGTCTGATGACATTCAGCACAGCATTCAAGACAGCAGTACAGAAATCCACCTGGTCTCTAAATGGAACAAGCCATGGCTAAAACAATGTGGCAAAGCCAGCCTTATCACATGTCTCATACAGGCTTATAATTTAGCATTTGCAAAGGAAAGGTCACGAAAAAAGTGAAGATGGTGAGACTCTTTCAAATTATCCATCTATTTATTATTCAGTCACTACAAGTACCTAGAACAAGTTTATTTTCAATTACTCTTAAGGCTTCCTTGTTATCCTCTCAAACTCACCTGAGCCTTTTACTTTTGAATCATCTGCTAAACAGCCAAATGTTAGTTATTATGAAACCGTTCTCTTCTGATACTTCTCATTCCTCTGATTATTTTTCCTGTTTTTTTTTCTCTTCCTTTGTGTATCATTTAAACGGTTTTGTCTTTCAACATTCTTCCCTTGGTTCTTTTCTCTCCCAAGTCTGTATACCTTTCCATGTTGACCTCACCTATCCTCATAACAGCAATTGCTGTCTGTATGCTGTGGATATTCAAATATATGACTCCATCGTGATTCTGAACACCAGTCCTGTTTATTCAACTGCCTACTAGACATCTCCATTTGGATCCCTCGCAGGTGCCTCATCAGAGTATTACCATTCTCCTCTAAAAGAGAACAAATCCTCCATTGTCTAGACACCACCAGCTGTGTGACTAAGGAGGAGACCCACTGAATTTTAAGTGCTTTGGTCAATATTCCCCTCTCTATCACCGTTGATGTCCTCACTGCCAAAATTTGATTTTAGGATTTCGGACATCCATACTAATGATTCCTCAGATCCAGATCCTTGCCCCTTTCCTCCAAGGATCTTGTCCTCTATTCTGAGACTCTACTCCATTCTCCACTCCCACGATTAACCTAGATCTTACCCATCTTTAACGAAAACTTCTAATCCTTTTAGCTTTCTTTCTTTACTGCCCCAGCTCCAATGATTTCTCAAAGCCCTGAAGACCTTTCCACAAACATTGATCCCACCTGACTCTTCACTGTTCCTCATCCCTCTCATATTTTCAGTTCCCTGCTTATCCAGTTTACATCCCATGGTCCGCCATTACAATTACATCTCACATATACCCCCAACTTCTTTTTCTCTCCTTCTCACTGTGGACTGACAAACACAACCCAGCTAAATACAGCCTCTCATCTACTCTGCACCTGAGCCTGGACAGGTGGCTGTGGTGAGAGAAAAATCACACAATTGTTATGACAGATCTTTTTTTTTTTTAATGACTGTTTGAGACTAGGTGATTTCTTTTCTTTTCTTTTTTTTTTTCTTTCTTTAAGATTGGCACCTGAGCTAACAACTTTTGCCAATCTTCTTTTTTTTTTTTCCCTGCAAACCCCTCTAGTACATAGTTGTATATTTTAGTTGTGGGTCCCTCTAGCTGTGGCATGTGGGACACCGCCTCAGCGTGGCCTGATGAGCGGTGCCATGTGCATGTCTAGGATCTGAATCGGTGAAACCCTGTCCATTTCCCCATGATATCCACTCTCCCGGTCTTATAGATCAACAGTACACATCCTTCTCCTCTTTCTATCTCTACCACATCTTCCTCTTTCTAATTCTTAGTTGGTAACTTTGCTTCTTATTTCACCGAGAAAATAGACATTACTGGACAAAAGTTTCTACCTCTCTTTCAAACAACTCTAGAAAGTTACTTGCATTTATAACTGAATACTCAATCTTGCTTGATTCTCTTCTCACCTCTCTCCTCAACCAACTGCCTCTTCCTACTTTTAGATGTTAAAGAGTCTCAATCCTAGTATCTTACAGCTTTAGTGATGTCACCTAGTCTCATAGGTTTAAATACAATCTATGTGCTGAACAATCACAAATATATGTTTCCAGCCTGACCTCTCTCCTTGATTCCAGACTCAAGTATCCATCAGCCTACTCAGCATTTCCACTTAGACGTTGTGGAGATTGTTAGGGTTGTTATAAATACTCTCTTATTTTTGCTACATGGTAAAATTGCATTTTTCTGAATGCTCCTCCCCAGTGTAGTTAGCCCTATGCATATTTTTCAGTGAAATGTGAGCAGGAAGCATTTTAGGTTATTTGCATGAGAAGGCTTAAGAGCCAGAGCATAGTAGCCATATTCCCTTTGCTGTCTTGCTAGCTATCAGGGCAAACACATGTCTAGATACTGCCTCCATTAGATTGACTCTCTGAGGGACTAAAGTGGGCAGAGGCGGCTGTTGACCCCTGCTGGCCTTGAAGCAAGAGTAAGAAATAAATCCACTTTATTAAGCCAAAGATGTTTGTGATTGTTGGTTCTGCATCTTAACCTAACCTATCCTGACTGATAATATTTCTGCTATGCACCTCAAATTTAACATATTCTAAACAAACTCTTGCCTTTCCTCTCCAGACCTGCCCTGCCCATAGTTCTCCCCATATCAGAAAATGGTATCACCAAACTTCCACTCTCTATGTCAAAAACATCCTCTTTTTCTCTCATAACTCACATTCACTCCATCCACAAATCCTGTTAGCTCTACCTGCAGAGTGTTGCCAGATTTAAACTACCTACACCAGCACCTCCACCACAACTGCCCTGGTCCAAGCCTGATTTTTGCAATAGGCTCTGTTTCCCCACTTATACCATTATAGTCAGTTTTCCATATGGCATCAAGAATTATATTTTAAAAAATACATCAGATTGGGTTATTCCTCTGCCCCAAACTTTGCAATGGTTCTTTAATGCATGCAAAGTAAAATGTAAAGTCCTCACTTAGCTGACAAGATCCATATCATCTGACTCACTTCTAGTTCTCTGATCTCATTTCTATTTACCACTCACTGCTTCAGCCCCCTTCTCTCTCTATCACTTGAGCACACCAAATAAGCTACTCATCAACTTTTTGCTTGTGGTTTCACTTGTTTACATACCAATTACCATAAATTTAAGTTAAATCAATACTATTCTGAATCTTGTCATAATGAAGTTAAGTTTCTGGCTAAGACTGATTACCAAGAAAAACAAAGAGAGTTCTATATTATTCAGAGATGGGTGGTTTACTTTCTGCCATCTGTTGACTTGTGACCTTGAGACTATAAACAATTATTATAGGAAACTACGTTTGTTAGAATCTTTCTTTTAGAAAAAGTGTTTGTTTAGTACAAGTTGTAAACCAATTGTAGGATTTAAAATATGTCCACAAATTCTTAGATACTCCTCCTTTCAATAGGTGGAACCCAATTATCCTCCCCTGAGTGTGAGCTATACTTAGTGACTTACATCTAGTGAATAAGCTGTGGCAGAAATGACAATGTGGTTTTCAAGACCAGATCATAAAAGGTATTATGGCTTTTTCCTTGTGCTCTTTCTCTGTCTCTGTCTTGTATCACTTACTCTGGGGTGAGTCAATTGCTATGTCTTGAGGACACTCAAGCAGTCCTATGGAGAGGTGCACCTGATAGGGAACTGAGGCCTCCTGCCAACAGCCAGCAAAGAAATGAGGCCTCCAGCCACAGCGATGGAGCATTCTGGAGAGCAGATCCTCCACCCCCAGTCAAGCCTTCAGATGACTGCAGTCGTGGCCACCCTCTCAACTGGAACTTCACGTGAAGCCCTGGGCCAGAAATACTCATCTAAGCTACGCCTAAATTCCTTACTTTCAAAAACTGTATGAGATAACTAATAGTTCTTGTCTTAATCGGCTAAGTTTTGAGGTAATTCATAGTACAAAAATAGGAAAATAATACACCACTTTATTTTTGCCATAGGGGTTTAATTTTAATAAAATATAACCAATGTGAAAACTTACCTCCTTCTATGATCTTACTGATTTCGTTGTAACAAATTCAAATGGTAAAAAAAATTGTATAGATTACCTTAAATTTAAGTACATATATAAAGTCATTCTTTGAAAAACTACTTTATAAGTAAAATAGCTGACTAGAAAATTAGTTATAAAATGCCTTGCACAATCTTTTTCACAGGGGTAAAGTACGAAGGAAAGTCAGGAAGTGAAAATGAGCTTCATGTTTGTTGAATAGGGTGGATGTCAACCTGTCTGGGGTAGAAGTTACAAAGTGGTGGCAAAGTCAAATAGTCTGCCTCTAGGCAATCAACCACTTTTGAAATTTATAAAAACTACCTCTAAGTTGAATTAAATTTAAATATTTATTGACCATTTATTGTTTGCCAGGAACTGCTAAAGATTCAGAGATGAGCAAGACTCGGCCCATTTCCGGGAAGATTCTAGTGGGGAAGTGAGAGAATTGGGGCATAACTACTTCATATGTGGAGTCGGATGGAGGAACCTCGAGAGCACCTGCAGGCTTCTTCTGGACCATTGCAACAGACCATGCTACCAAGCATTAGGATAGAAGGTCTATTGAAAGAAGCAACTTGAAATATTCTTACCATGTTAACAAAAAAAGGAATGTAGATTAAATCTCACATTAAACCTATAGGAAATGATCCTTGTGGTTTCATGAGGTTTCCCCCATCCCTTAAATATCAAGAATAACTTTCCCTTTCAACTCTTGGTGTGTCCTCCATCCATAAAAACAGCTGAGGATGTCATAGAAGAGAAATCGTCAATAAATTGTTTCATTGGCTTGGAGGAAAGAATCTCATCCTGATAACAGATCAGATTTATAAGCAGAGCTGTCAGATCAGCTTTATAAACAGCACTGATAACTGCTGGTCATGCTGTTGTCAGACCTCCTGAGACCCTTCAAGGAAAGAAAGCTTTGGGACCATCTCCTAGCAACACCAAATGGAATCATTTAATACCAAACATTTAATTTCTTTGCCTGACATTCAACTTTATAATGTCAGGAGAGAAGGAAAAAGAGCAAAGAAACAGAGAGGAGGGTGGAGGGGAAAGAGAAATAGGAAAGGAAGAATGAGAAGAAGGTTGCAGATGCTTGAGCTAGAATACACAGGGGTATTTGGGAAACATTTGAAAGCTATTTCCTTAGGTAAACAATTTTACTCCTCAACCAGAGTAATTGGTAAAATTCTTGCCCTGCCCAACACAATTTTGTCTCCAGTGGGGTTCCTGTGGGGCTCAGGAATTGTTCCTGAGGCAGCTGTCAACCCTGCCAACTATTTCCTTCACAGCTGTGAGCTGATAGTTACACATCATTTCTGTTTCCACCACTCGACTCTCTTCCAACCTGCCAGTTTGCCTTCTCATTTGGAACTGCTAATGGTGCAGACAGTGGGTAGCTGATGCTCACTCTGTCCCCAGTGCAGGGTACCGCCCCTTTCTGTGGTCTCTCTCCCTGTGGCCTGGGTACTAGATCTAAGCTGCACTGCATAGGACTTAGGGCTGGGCAGGTGCTCTGTGTCAGGTCCTTCTTTACACTGTACATAGGCCACTGTGGGGAGGCTAACATGGCCTCTGGGGTGCTCACCTCCTCTGTGGCATTGTTCTGGTATGGTAGTGGGATCCATCTGCTGTAGCCTAAGCTGGCTGTTCTCAAACTGGAGCATGCATCAGAATGGCCAGCAATGTCTGTTAAACTCAGACTGCTGGTTCCCACCTTCAGCGTTTCTTATTTGGTAGATCTGGGGTAGGCTCCGGAGCTTGCATTTCTAATCAGTGCCCAGGAGATGCTGACATTGTCGGTCCAGACCTTTAAATACAGCATTTCTCACTTTGATAATCACTGGCCTAAGCCATAGCAATGAGCTTGTTGTTCCCTTTGCTTCAGTTTAACGACATTGTGGCTTTTTTCCATTTTTTTTCTGTGGGGGAGTGGCAAGAATGGTTATGTGGCTGTCACAGCTGTCCAAGGCAACAAAGTTTGGCAACAGAAAAAACAAGAAGTGGTCAGGGTTAGGGATATATTAGAGGTAGTGTCCATAGGATTTACTGGGGAATTGAACAAGGGGTAGCAGGAAAAAGAGAAATTGTGGATAATTTCTAGGGGTTGGACCTGAGCAATGTTGAAGGATGTTATTTGCTGAAATGAGAGAACAGACTGGGGGAAGAGGATTCACAGTGGGGAGTAGAGGTTGGAAATCAATTCTGTTTTGATATTTAATTTGAGATGTCCTTTCAACACCAGAGCATCCAGTAGGTGGTGGATATGTGAATCTTGAACTCAGGCAAGGGATATAAATTCTAGGGCCAGCAGAAGTCAAATGATATTAATGCCACGAGTCTGGGAGAGATGTATAGACCTGGAAAAATGAAGGATGAAGAAAGAGTCCTGGAGCATCCAAGCCCTGGGTCTTTTGGCTTCATTATGTCATGCAAACCCTCAAAATGCTATTTTAGATGAAAATAGAGAGTATCGTAGTTGAGCAGGACAAGGATCTGGTCTCCTATGTGAAAAGTACAAAAGGCTATAGTCATAGCCACTATATTACAGTGGAAAGTGTCATTAACATGATGGCCAAGTCCTAAATTTAAAATCTTTTTTAAATCATCAAATAGAAAATATATGAATAAAAGTGTAATTAGAAACATGGACTAATGATCTAAGCAGTGAATACAGCATATTGTAATGTATTTTTACTTGATTTTTGATAAGTCTAAGCAGTAATAAGGATTATGTCATTTGTATCTTAAAAGATTTATCTAGGACTTTGATAAACGCCAAGTCCGTGATTGCAGTTATCTTAAAATAACTCACTCAATTAATTTTAAGTATGTGTAGAGGGGGCAGGGCAGAGGAATGAGATCACTCTGTATGAATGATGGATAGCTTTTGGCGTGCTAATAAGAGCTATGAAGTAGGAATGGAGGATGTCAGCATGCACACTCACCATCACACAGCTGCCACTTGCAAATTGGAAAGAAAAATAATACCAGGCCAGCATGAGCAAAGCTAAGCCGGAATTTCAGAATTGCCAAAAGTCTAGAAAATCTTCGGAGAGGAAAGAAATGAACCAAGAACTATATATTTCACGGCAGCACTCTGTGAAAAAGACTGAATGCCTTAAAAGATTTATTTAAAATACCTAAAAATTGGAAATAAAATATTGTTTTAAAATACAAAGCTTAACTATTGAAGGCGTCTGTTTGTCTCAGACAAAACCTTGACTCTGGATATGTTCCATTATCGTATAGCTTGTTCTAGCCAAAATTCTTCATAAAAAGCAGAGAAAGGTAGATTTGTACAGTAATCACATTTTATTACCTTATACATTCACAGTCTCTTCCTAAGGTGAGATCAGGAGAGAGGGGAATTTTCTATCATTTGTGCATTTATTCCAGACAGAAGTCCTGGTTCCAACTCCTGCTCCTCTTGACCATCTATGTAAACTTGGACAAGATAGTTAACCAAGTGTCAGTTTCTGCATGTGAAAGGGGATACTAGTGATACCATCTTATCAGCTTGTTAAGAGGATGAAAGGAGGTAATTCACGTAATCTGCTCTGCACCATAACTAGTACACAGCAAGCACTCAACAAATGATGGCTATGGTTATTAGATGACATCGATCTTGCTTTCTAGGTCATATGATCAAGTATAAAGAAAGTTAAAATCTGCCTCTAATGTAAAGCAGAATAAGGTAAAAGTCAGATCAGTGTAAACAATGGTGTAGGAATTCTGAAAAGGAGGCAATCCCATACATAATGGAACGTGGGACAGGATCTTTTGGAGGATGGTGGAAACAGAGTAGAGACGTGAGCAGCAGGGGACTGAAGGGGAAAGAATGAATTCCTCTCTGTCTGCCATTGTAGTCAGCCAAGGGTGGTGATCAGACTCAGCCGTTGAGTCCAATCACTGCTAGAAGTTGGAAGTCTACCATTTCCAGCCTTCAAAATCCTGCCACAGGACTAGAGAGAGAAAGTACTTCACCGGTGGTTTGATCTGAGAAAGCTTTTGGAAGGTTTGCTAGTTGACATCATAACAGTTTTTATAAAATCATGTATTTGTTTCTTAAGGTAGGAAGCCGGGCTCTGTAAAAGTATTCTTGGGGGCACCATTCCAGTGATCGTTTTTGGGATTCCTCTTTTGCAAATGCCTTCACACATTTTTGGACTATCCTAATTGATACCATATCTTTAGTCTTTGAAAGATGATTGATTTTCTTCTTAACTAAAATACACCTGAACCAAATATTGATTATATCAGCCATTATAATATTTTTGGTTAAAAACTAAGTAGTTCTCTAATGAAATGTGACATTAGAAAAAAACTTGTACATGATTGATCAAATCATTATGTTCTTTTGGACTACACATATTTTGGCATTTAATTAACCCACCTACTACCATTACTTTATAGTCTTATTTTCATAAATGTCTATGATGAGAAGTTGATAGATGTGACATAATTATTGGAGAACAAATATATCTAGAGTGATGCATCGTATGATTATTGCTAGAGGGAACTGCTTTGTGATTCACAAACATTTTTGCCAAAAGATTCCCTACTTGCTTCAAAGAGATCGTGACCAAATTTTGTCACCACCAATTTGATCTACCATCCACCTTTTTCAGACACCTTCTCATTTTCCCTGGTTTAGCCATCCTTAGCTAGCTCCTTCAAGACTATACACCTGAGAGCTCCCACAACTCTCCAATACATCTGTGTCTGAGCTAGTCTTGACATATTGATGCAGTACCACAAGTAACTTAAGACTTCCATGCAAGGAAAGATGTAACACTACAGTCACGTTTAATTCCTTCAACAACCAGCAAATCTATTACCATATTTAAAATCACTGGAGGTTAAAATGAAAACAAATTGAATAAATTGTAAAGACAAGCAAGAATGCTTTTGTCTGGTTCAAATTACTGAATGTTTCTTTCACTTCTTCTAATCTAGTTTAGTGAGTCTAAGACTTACAGTGTGTAAGTGTCATTATATATCATGGGTGATTTAGTGGATTTCCTAGGAATAAATTTGGAATAGATTTTATTTTGGCCTTAGCTCTGATTTTACGGCCAATGCCTCCCTCCTTAACCTCCACCCCCCTCCAGACACACACACCATCTTGACTTCAGATTTTCATATGGATGTGCCTTAGAAGTGGGTCACATTCCTGGATCATTCCCCAAAACCTCACTTCCCATTGCACCTTGTGCCATTATAAAACTGATACCTTCTTGCTCTGATATCAACACCCTTCCTTGACTAGTATGGTAGGGGAAAGCCGATGAGTTGAGTTGAAAAAGTAGACATATGTGGAGTTCATTTCATTTGCAGATTAATTATTACTTTAATAAAAAGAGGTGATAAATATAGTTCACAGTTAAAAAATAAGTTCAGATTCTTAAGACACTTCAGTAGTGGCAGCTTAACTTGTATTGACTTTTTTCTTTCTTTTCTTTTTGGAAATTCTGATATTTTATTTCTTTGTGTTCTAGCACTCAGCAACTTATAGCTTCACTTATAAGTTAAGCATGCAATAAATAGCATAGGTTTACATGTTAAATAATATTCTATATGTAGGGAGAAATGTTTAAAAAACCTGTGGTGCACTAAGTCTTCTTTTTTAAATTGCAAGTTAAGTTATTAGTTTATCCTTCTGAAGTCAGTACAAACTTTACGAGGAAGGTACGTAAATAGACATATAGCAATTTGCCATCAGTCACACAGAGAAACACAGCAGAGCTGGAATCAAAACAGGCATTTCTCAACGAAGGCAATGTAGGTAGCTGCCTACATGGTGTAATTTGATGGTGAGATTTTTCTTTCCTAAAATATCTCTACTGAAATGTTATCACTTCTTTTGGTTCACAAGATAATCTTAGAAAATGTAAATATTCTAGAAGGGTTATGACAGTAAGGAAGCTAACAGACCTTAATAAAAGCAGAATCATAGAAATGTAACATCTTATAATTATGAGTTCTTTCATGTTATTTAGTTCAGTTCCTTGCCCAATTCCTAAGGCCCCTCCTTGTTTCTTCTGACTGGTGGCTGTCCAGGCAAAAGTACTCCCACTAACTTCCTTTCCTGAGAGAGCCGACCACTCCACTGATGACCATCTCATTTGCTTTTTCAACTTTATGGAGATATAATCAATATATAACTATGTAAGTTTAAGGCATACAATGTGATGATTTGATACATGCATGCTTTGCAAAATGATTATGGTGACATATTTTTTTTAGTTGTGAAGGATGACTAGATTTATCATCAATCCAGAAACCTGGGAGTCATTTTGACTCCTCTCTCTCCTTTGCCTATCACACCCAACGGGTGACCAGATCCTGTTGATCTGAGGGCCATCTCTCACTCGCTCTGAGGCGCAGCAATGAAGTGTGAAGTGCTGGGGCCTGGGAGTTGGAGAGACATGGTTCTTTTCTCGAGAGGCTAATCTGGGTTGTGCCCCTTTCTGCGTGTGTGAAATTGGCGTGTGTGGCAATTTTTTAGGGCTTCAAATCGTGCATCTGGAAAAGAGAGATAAAATGCCCACTTCATAAAGTTGCTGGGGCTGTTTGAAATGTTATATAATTATCTAGTGTAACACCTGGTAAAGAGTCAAAACTTAAATGCAATTTCCTTCTATTTACGTATCCAAAGTGTCCCCTTATGGTAACTTCTACTAAGTAGTGTTAGTTCTGTCTTCTGGATCCACAAATAATAGGTTTTATTCCTCCCTTCCTTTCGCTCTCCTTTCCGTCTTCTCTTCCTCCTCCCCCGCCCCTATTTTTTCTTTACTCTCTGTATTTAACAGGAAGATGGCTAATCTCTTTCTTTGATTTACCAGTGTCATAATTATGTGAAAGAAATAATATGGTTATTTTGACATAATTTGTTCCTCCTAAACCGATGTATATTTATACCCCTAATTACCAATATATTCTTTGCTTAGTAACACAACCCATCTGGTTGATGACTGATAACCTATTATAGACTTTTGCTTGATTTTGAAATTAGCTATTTTTCCTTAAATTTCCTTTCCTCCTTTTCAAAATGGGGATAGAACTTGCTCATGTTCTTACACTTGACATGATTACTTTACTATTGCCAGTAAATAAAGTTTGAAATGAAATTGGCCTATTGATGTAAATTCATCTAAAATATCTAGATAGTCTTGCCATTTAACTGTTCTGTTCTCCACTCTATTTTATTTGGTTTATCATTTCCAGTTTGAAGATATTTCTCTTAGAAACAATTGTTTTGTCTTCTCTTTAGCATCTGTTAGCATTAGACCATCTATTCCAAACACTGAAGCTATTCCTTTTTTATTCTTGTCCAGAACATAGTTAAAATAAAGCCCTTCTAGTTCTCTGTCATTCTTTTCAAGACTTAGTTCATTCTGGGTTTTACCATTCCTCAGACTGAGCTCTGAGTATCATAACACTCCCGTGTGTTTGTTCTTGGGTGTGGACTTCTCTTTTCAACTTTTGTAAATGTGCTTTGAAAACCCATCCACTTAATAGATAGAATGCCCTTTGTGTGACTCTGGCTTTCTCTTTTTCTTCATTTGTATTTGTATACTCAGAATGTAATATTTAAAAATTAAATTTAAATTTTCTCTTGAGAATTGTAGAATCTTCTTTGGATCTGAACATGGGATCATGCCTGTCTCTGATAGGCACCAAATTGTGAGAATTTACTCCTGGGTAAGTTACACATCTGTATGGTCGTTTTGTATATGTCTGTTTCTCACACTGGACTCAAACTCCACGAGGGCGGGAACCATGGCTCTTTCTCTTACCATAGTTTTCTCAGCAACTCACCCAGGGTCTAGAACATAAAAGACCCTCAGTGAGAATTCATTGAATGCAATTATTTAATAAATATTAGCTTTGAGTGTCTGCTTGCCCTCAGCATTGCACAGAGTTCAGATGCTTGAGTCTTCTGAACACTGACAAAGGGCTGAGAGCACAATACAGCAGATGCTTTTCCTTGTTATGAATCAGAGAAATGTTCAACAAGCTGGCACCAGAACTGTTTCCTTTATGTCACTCTTCCTCTGCTAAAACTCTGTCCAAATTTTCACAAACTTCTGCTTTTAGACCAAGGTCAAAGAATATCCCCATTTCACTTACGTATTCATTTTCTCAACCCATGACTCATTTATTTCCAAGCAAGCTCAAAGCAGCAATCTGAAAAGCACATTCCAAGCTCACAGTCATTGTCTGATCCATTTGTGGTGATCATTTGAATTCAGTCAAGGTCCAGTAAGACAGTGCCACAAACCAGCTCCCTGGACATTGTGTGGAAAGGTCCAGATGTCACTGACACACAGTGATGAATTTACAGCTGGCTGGGTGGGACAGAAGAGCTGGAGTCACTGTGACTGGTTGACTTGGCGAGACCACTTAAGTTCTCATGCTATTATTTCTGATTATCTTAAACCAGGAACATTTTCGCAACTAAGGCTGGGGGTAAGGGAAGGAAGAAAAATATTGCTAAACATAATTTAAAAGTATTTCAATAGATTTTGAATAACTTTATCCATGTGAAAAGAATTGCATTAAATGCAATGGAATTTAAAATGAAGTAGAAAACAGTAGAATTTCAAATGAAATAAAAATAAAGCTGCTAACACCTGAGCTGCAATAAACATTATTTAGAATGTGGTGTTGAACTTAAAACTATACAGTAGTCTGCCCTTATCTGCAGTTTCACTTTCCATGATTTCAGTTACCTGAGGTCACCTCCCCTGGGAGCAGATGATCCTCCTTCTGATGTATCGTCAGAGGGTCAATAGTAGCTTCATGCTAGGTCACAATGCCTACGTCGTTCACCTCACTGCATCTCAACACGTAGGCACTGTATCATCTCACATCATCACAAAAAGAAGGGTGAGTACAGTACAGTAAGATATTTTGAGAGAGAGACCGCATTCACATAACTGTTATTACAGTACATTGTTATAGTTCTATTTTATTATTAGTTATTGTTAATCCCTTACTGTGCCTAACTTATAAATTAAACTTTTTTTTGTTTTTTTTGGTGAGGAAGATTGTCACTGAGCTAATATCTATGCCAATCTTCTATTTTGTGTCTGGGATGACACCACAGCAAGGTTTGATGAGTGGTAGGTAGGTCTGCACCTGGGATCTGAACCCATGAACCCCAGGGCCACCAAAGCAGAGCACTTAACCACTTGTGCCACCAGGCTGGCTCCTAAATTAAACTCTTTCGTAGGTTTGTATGTATAGGAAAAAACATAATGTTATATAGGGTTCAGTAGTATCTGCAGTTTCAGGCATCCACTGGGGGTCTTGCAGCATATCCCCTGTGGATATGAGGGGACTACTGTACTCAGGGATTGTCAAAACATGGCAGGCTGAGCTGAAGCTTCCTTCCAAGAATACTATCCTGAGTAAAGGAATAAAAAATTACATATTTAAGCTCCAAAGAAAAGATGCCCCCAGGAAGCAGGGTGAGAGGGAACGGATGCCCTTGTGGTGCAGTCGGGTGGGGAGTTTCTGACCTGGACTGAAGGTCCAGAGGCCTGCTCAGGGACTGGGTATGGGCTCTGCGATCCAATGAAGGCTACTCCGCCTGTTCTACTCTCCGTATCTCCAAACCTTCAGTGAAGTGTCTTAAAAAGCCACAGACTGACTTCTGCTTTGCTGTAGGGAATAGGAAAGCAAGGCTCCCTCCATGAGGAGTGGGCTTTGAGCCTGTCTCCAGTGAAGGACAGTGCAGCACTAGGGTCAGCCAATCTGTGATCACCTGAGGGGACCGAAGACTGAGGCAGGGCTGCAGAGCAGGAACTCCCAGAGAGCCACGGGGCAGCGTGTGGGGCACCTTTCAGGTGGGGGGGGGGGGGGGGGGGTGTGCCAAATTCTCATCCTTTGACCACTTAGAGCTCATGCCATAGTAATATAAGTATGGAAGAAAGGCATTTCTTTATTTGGAAGCCGAAAATGAGTGAGACTTTTGATATAGGAGTCCTATAAGCTAGAATGGAAAGAGCCTTAGTAGCATCTTCCTACTTTTTAGATAGTACAACTGAGTACCACAAAGGTTCCCATATGGTAAGGAAAAGCTGATGGTGTGAGCTAGGATTCCAGCTTCTCTTCCACACTGCACTTCCTTTGAGGCTGGATGATGGCAGGATCATACAGGGATTCGGCATGGCCTGTGAAGCTAAGAGTTAGGGTTCTGGAGCCAGCTAGCCTTAGCTTGAATCCAGGCCCTGCCCCTTCCTAAAAGAGACGCCTGAGAAAGTTACTTAACTCCCTGTGCCTCAGTTTCTTCATCTGTAAAAGGGGGATAGTTACAATACTAAACTCATATGGATATTGAGAAAGTTAAATGAATTGATATGTACTTTGACGTAAATATCATTGTGTTCAGAAAATCCTAGATAATATTAAGGTTCATGATTCGTCTCCAGCCTACCTTTCCTGCCTCATCTCTTCCACGCTCCCTCCATCACCCAGTGTTTCGCCATGTTGCCTTTCCTGCTGTTTCCAGAAAACCCAGCTTTTTCATGCCCATGTGCTCTTCTTTCTGCCTGAAATGACTTTCTGCTTCCTTGTATATATCTCAGTTCTGAGATAAAATCTATCTTTTAATTCAAAACCTTCCTCCAACTTTCTTTCTCATCTTCACTCCCTCAGTTAAATACTCTGTCCTGTGTGCTCCCAGCGGCACATTATACATGTTCCATCTAGCACTTTCCATCTCAGATTATGATTATGATGTTGTGTCTCTGGTTTTCTATAAGACTGTGACTTCCTTGAGGGGAGGAATATGGTTTAATCATCCTTTTAGTGTTAATAGCTTGTCCTTAATAGTCTCTCAAAACTTTCTCACTTCAGAATAATAAATATAGGCCTGCTCAAGCCACCCTTTCTAAGTTGAAAACACCCAACACACACCATACACACACACACACACACAAGCACTGCTCTGTCCTTGCCTGACTTTTCTGCTCAGCTTCTATCACCATGCAACATACTACGTATTTTATTTATTCATCTTATTTATTGTGGTAATATGTGTAAAATACATAGAATTCTATGTGTTTACTAGGCAAACACATGCCTAGTAAATGTTGCTTATTGTTGTTGACAGTTATTAACACCATGATTAGTTGCTCTGCTATTCTTAGTGGTGGTAGTGTTATTTGTATTTACTATCCTTATTATTATTACCCACCTCCTGTCATTCTAAATGGTAAAAGAGAGCAGACCCTAACTGTACTTAATTAAATTCTCTTCTATGGATGCACAATTGATGTATGTTTGTAAACATAGTTAAGCCATTAATTTTTTACATATAGATTTCTTACTTTCAAGTGGATGATTTGGAAGAATGCTAGACTAGGAACCAGAAGACCCAGATTTTACCAGCTGTGTGACCTGGGGCGAGCTCCTTCACCTTTCTTTAAAAGAAGTGGTTGGGAAAAGCAAGGGAAGCTTACGTGTATTGACTCCACTCTCCGTTTACAATGGCAGCATTACTGTTCCTGTTGAGGCTGGTTGTGGCCCTAGAGTCCTCGTCACACTCTTCCAGGACAGCAGAATTCCACCACTCAGAGTTAAAATGCAATCTGTGACCTTCCGGTCATCCTGGGATGACCCCCAATCCCTTCCTGTTTCATCATTCGCTATTCTGTGAAGAAGAACAAAGAAACGAATCATGTCCTTGTCCCTACTGGATCCACAGGGTTCTACTCACAACTTCTCACTGAATTCTCCTAAAATATTTTTTAACATAATCCTCTCTCTAAAACTGCCTATTTGGCATTTTCTAGCCAGTATGCTGCAGGACTAAGGATAAAGGCTGTATCTGTCTCCACCTCAGGGATATTACTCCGTAGAGGAAAATACAAGTTCTTTGTTCTTGTTTTTATAAATACCAGTTCCCTCTGGGGCTGTAGTGTGGTCAAGACAGTTTTCCTTGTTGAAAAGAAATGCTTCATTTCCATCTTTCTCTATAAAGTCAGGGGAGATATTGGTTTCTTTCATCAAACCTGTGTCATAGAGGTGTTGTGAAGATTAATGAGCTAATGTTTATGAAGTGCTACCCTCTGCCTTGAGGAAAAAAGGAGATAAAAAGAACAACTCACCCAAACCCCTTCATTTTAAGTAAACCTTTTCTGACCCGCTCATTAGAGTTCATTTGCAGCACTGAGATTCTTGAACACCTGTATGAACAACTTGCAATTTACCAGAGGTTTTATTTTCAAATTTGAGAATAGAGAATAGTGAGTTTTCTCTCCAGTTCTTATTTTTAATTTTAAATTTGTGCTTCTTACAAGATTTCTTACCGTTTAGTGCAGATGGGGGATGGTAGAAGAAAATGAATGTTCTGAGAGCTACAGCATGGCCAGCCTGCAAGCCAAGAATCACTAGTTGCCACTACCAACAATAAACAATAAGTACACATTTTAATTAACTCTTTTTAATCACAGAAGAACTATATTTACCTATTAATCTTGAAAAAAACAGTGAGGGCAGCTTCTCTTGATGAAACTTGGGGCAGCTTTGTAGACATCTCTCAATCGGTCATAAGCTATTCTACTGAATTCAGTGAATTCTCACTCTTCCCTCAAATTAAATTTCGCAGGCACACCTGTTACATAACGTATTGATTACACAGGACTGCTAAAATGGTTTGGAGAGATTTTCACATCTGTGGGAAAGGCCGCCTCAGAGAGAAACTATGTGGTGAATTAGTTACGGTTTGTAGATGCTACAGCAGCACTTACTCATTAGTGTGATCATCATGGCTCTGAGGTTTCCAACTTGATTCTCCGATGGGAAAACTTTGCAAAGAAAGTTCTGCCCAAGAGGGAACCCAACCTAAGAATGTCTGTTTCCTGTACTACTTAATTCAGCTGAGTCATGTGTGGCTCCTGGGTCCCTCTTCTACCATATTTCCCCTCCCCAATGTGAAAAATGACAGACACAATCATGGGACTTTCAAAGGGCATTGTGATACTTGTAATAGAAGTTCAAACATGCTGGAGGAAAAACTATCTTTAACCATAGAATTATCCTTAGCCATAATATTAATTATGTTACCTATGTACATAATACACATGTATATATATCATCCATTATATGTATAATAATTACATCATATTCATATGTGTGAGTATGTATCTATTGATCTATCGATATACAGGTGAATTGATCTTACCTACTTTTGAGTAAACCCTAAAAATGTCCCTAAAATAATCCTCTGAAGGGGCCAGCCCACTAGCACAGTGGTTAAATTCATGCACTCTGCTTTGGTGGCCCGGGGTTTCGCTGGTTCGGATCCTGGGCGTGGATATGGCACTGCTCATCAGGCCACGCTGAGGCAGCGTCCCACATAGTACAACCAGAGGCACTCATAACTAGAATATACAACTACATATGGAGGGCTTTGGGGAGAAGAAGAAGAAAAAGGAGAAGAAGAAAAAGGATTGGCAACAGATGTTAGCTCAGGTGCCAATCTTTAAAACAAAAGCTCATCTGATAAAAGAAAAGTTGATAAACTACGCTTAACTCATTATGAAAAGGGAAGAGTCACACAATAAATTTAATTCATATCTGGATGTTTACTTTGCATGTGGTATTTCCGTTATAACATGAGTGATTTAAAAATTAGAATAAGTTCACATATTTAAAGGTTTCTGAAAAAAGAAGGAAAAGGAACACACATACATAACTAACAATGTAGGCAACAAAATTGCAACCAGAGAAGAGCAAAACCCTTGGAGTGTGTAGAAGGAGGACAGAGGTTGATTTAGTCCGAAAAAGATAAGGTCAAGTTTCTTAGAAGGGGTGCCATTGGGCTGGATCTTGGCTAAGTGGGAAATTAGATGGTGGAAATGTCACTCTCGGCAGAGTGAACAGTAAGGGTAAATGTCAGGAGACAGGAAACTTTCTACATGTTGAAATTTGTTTGGGTGGAATATAAAGAGCAAGCAGAGGGAGTGGGAGATAATGTAGGAATATTATTTTT